CCACACCTGGCTAATTCTTGTGTTTTTAGTAGAGACGGGGTTTCACCATGTTGCTAGGCTGGTCTTGAACTCCTGACCTCAAGTGATCCACGCGCCTCGGCCTTCCAAAGTGCTGGGATTACAAGCGTGAGCCACCATGCCCAGCCTTTTCCTGAACTTTCTCTAAGGCACTTGGTAACCATGATTCTCACCTTGCTTGAGATTTAAAAAAATAGTAATAACAAGTTATGATAAATGACTTAGAGTCTAAAGTAGATCTAAATTTTACCAGCTATATGGCTTTGTTTTATGCCTCGTTAAGCCTCAATTTTCTCATCTGTAAAACAGAGCTAATAATAGTATTTCATAGGTTTGAGGTAAGGACTAAATATAATACAAATATATGTATTTTTAGTACAATATTTATATTCAACAAATGTAGATGGTGTCATTTAGTGTCATCACTTGTGTCAGGCCACTTTCTGACCTTTTCCCACTCTGATACCATTTCCTGAGGCCTTCCCCTTTTCCTGTATTACTGTTATCTTTCACTCAGCCCCCAACATATATGCCTAATTCTGTGCTTGAAGATTCATTATATGTTCTCCTAAGATTTTTAAGGAAAGATCTCTCATTTTTACAGGTATGAAAGCTGAGATAGCTTTAGGTCCTCTTAAATCATAATGGAAGTCACTACCAAGCCAGTAATAAATTCAGATTTTACTGTTGTATTTTAAAGTACCTCTGTCCAGGTGCCTCTTCTGACTACTTTTTTTAAGCCCCCCCAGAGAGAAGAGACAAAAGGATAAATGTTTCAACTCAGCTTGCAGCAGGTGTCATTCTATTTGATTTGCAGGCCTTTCAACAAAACAAAAGCCCTTTTCTGTTCTTTTACAATATATGCCCTCTTTAAAGGTACTCAAATGAAAAAAAAAAAAAAGCATACACTGGACAAGATTTCAGGTTCTAAGAGACAGAAACTGAGCTCTTAGTTGTTGATTTACTTTTCACAGGGAAAGCTAGCTGCCATTGAAAACATTATTTTCTAAATAGCATTTACATTTTTATGATAGTTTCCCTTGAAATATATGCGAGTGGCATTCTCAGCAAGTTAGTATGTTTATAGTAGTTAAGTACTGAAAACTTACATAATGAAGTATTGAAAAACTTTAAAAAGCCAGTTAAAATTTTTTTAAAGTCAACAAAGAGAATCTATATATATTTGAGTAACAATATAGAATAGCATGTTTGCTTACTGCAACTGATTTTAAATGTCTCCAACTTGCTCTCCCCAAAGAGCTACCACTGATGTTCAATAGTAATATATCTTTTAAACCACATAAATAGTTAAAAAAAATAGTATTTAACTTTTTTTTAAAAGTTCTAGAGTCACTAAGGATTCATGAATAGGCCTGGTGCGGTGGCTCATGTCTGTAATCCCAGCACTATGGGAGGCCAAGGCAGGCAGATCACCTGCGGTCAGGAGTTCAAGACCAGCCTGGTCAACATGGTGAAACCCTGTCTCTACTAAAAATACAAAAATTAGCCAGGTGTGGTGACATACACCTGTAGTCCTGGCTACTCAGGCAGCTGAGGCAGGAGAATCACTTGAACCTGGAAAGCAGAAGTTGTAGTGAGCTGGGATCACATCACTGCATTCCAGCCTGGGCAACAGAGTAAGACTCTGTCTCAAAAAAAAAAAAAAAAAACCAACAACAAAAACCAATGTAGCTAAAATTTAATGAAGTGTTAACTATGTGCAAGATACTATGCTGAGCGCTTTTCATACATAATGTTATTTATTGTTTTCAACAACTGTAGGAAGTAGGTACAACCCCATTTTACAGATGAGGAAGCAAAGGCTTCACAAAGTTAATAGCTTACTTTAGGGCTCAAAGCTGGTAAGGGCTGGTGCCAACGGTGAACATGGGACCCTGCCTTGAGAGCCCCTGCCATCGTTAATTCCAGGGCACTGGGCAGCCTACCTGTTCGTTCATTGCCATCTGAGTTTTGGGGAAGCACCAGATCAGATGGGTATAGGTAGGAAATTTATTTTCAGATATAGTAACTGTTTCAAGGTAAAACCTTTGGGGCCTGTTTTACCTAGAATCCACACATTCAAAGTACAAGTGATAAAAGAAAATCAGCTCATCAACCTTAGTATGCACATGAATTAAAAAGAAGTCAGTCTGTTGAGAGATTTCATCAGAATAAAGTTTAAAGTGGAGTTGGAAATCTGAGTGGTTGAGTGCTTGCCATTTGAGTAACTGTAATGAGTTTGAAAAGCTCATTATATCGATAAAGTATCTTAGGGCCTTTCAGGACATAGTTCTAAAAGTTTTATTTAGTGATGAGTTTTTAAAATTCTTTTTCTTAAAAGTACATTGTAGTCTTTCCCCTCCATTTCTAAAATGAACTGTTAATCTAGGAAATCCTGTTTGTGTGTTGATTTGGGGAGTTTACCCAACATTTGCTATGTTAAATACTTATTAACATGGTTTATTACTTTTGTTTTGTTTTTTAGAAAACATTAATCATGAATGTACTGGGGCTTGGGAAGGATCCTGTGGTTGATGAGATAGTTGACCAAATCCTACCTGCTCCAACATAACCTGTCATTATTAAAATACAATGCTCTCATTTAATCCCCTGGTCAAGCTAAATGATACTGTGAAACAAAGCTAACCAAAATCAGGACACCTGATACCAAGAATTCATGAAATCAATCGCTATTGTACAGCAAGGAATCTAATGCTTTTGCTTCTTATCCATTTCATACAAATAAAATAAGCTTTACTGGGCTTGGTGAGTCTTAGAGCTGAGAGGTTTGAGAATAAGACTCACTGTGGAGTGTGTGACATTACAAAACCAAGCCAACTAAGCAGTTTGTACTGTTCCCTTAGAGTGCACACGTTTGGGCTCCCGGGCCCCTTAAAAAAAGACTGCATTTCTGGGAGGGAAAAGCACAAAATGCAGATTACACCGTGCGTGTGAAAGGCAGGAAAGAAAAAGCCCAGAAAAGCGTCCTCTTGTTGAGGCTCCTTACTGCAGCGAGGCTGACGGATGGGGTTTTTCAAAACGTCGCTGCAACCAGATGCAGGGCTGCAGCTTTGCTTACCGCAGCGTGCTGCAGTTGTGTTTATTTCAGGGACAGACACAAGGGGAAGCAGCAGCTAGAGCACACCCGGGCCGCTCACGGGAAGCCTTGCTGAAGAAGAGAGGATCCGCAGAAGCTGGGAAATTCCTCCTGCAGCCGAGGCGGAGGCTGAGCCGCGGCTCAGGTTGAGACAGTGGGCAGGGGCAGGGGGCGGCGCTCCTGGCCCAGCCCTCAGCCCGCGGCCGCCGCGTGGGCCGGAGGCTGCCTGCACCGCGTCAGGGAGGCTGGCCCAGAAACACTCCCTCCCAGGAGAAGGCCGATCCCGGTGCAGGTGGGGTCTTCCTCGGTTGCGTACCTGGCTGGAGCCGAGCTGGTGGGCGGCTGGCAGCCGGCGTTTCTGGCGATGACAGCCCCGAAATGAAAGCAGTGCGGCCGCCGCCTCCGAGGGCTGCAGGGAGATCAGCGCCCAGCAAATAAGAAGCAAGTCCTGGACCCGGAGGAGGAGCGGCCGAGCATCTCTCTCCGCTCCTCCGTGTCCTTTAGATGAGGACTCCCGGCCGGAGCCGGAGGTGGATCCGCAGAGCTGCCTCTCGGCGCCTGACCCCGCGCTGACATCACAACCTGTGACAGGCGCATCACGCCCGGTACCTGCTCCCGGCCGCTGCCCGTCTTCCGAGCCTCTTTGTATGCCGCAGACATGGCCAGCCAGCAGGATTCGGGCTTCTTTGAGATCAGTATCAAGTACTTACTGAAATCCTGGAGTAATAGTGAGTAATAGAAAATAACCTTTTTGTTTGTTAGTTTGCTGAATGTTGCATAAGGCTGGAGAAAGAAAATCTCAACTGGACACATATGTTTGTGAGCCGTGGAAGTTTTTCTTTTTTTCTTTTCCTTTCCTTTTTTTTTTTTTTTTTTTTTTTTTTTTTTGCTTCCATCTGATGTGAAAATCAAAATGTCAGAGACTGAACTAGCTTTCCTTAAGTGCAAAGGCTGCAATGGAATTACAGTAGATTGTGTTTGATTAAATTTTCAAGTGAGGCGGCCCTTCAGACTCTGGGGGAGCTCAGGATCAGGCATTCCTGGCTGCATTTCCTGCCTTGATGTTTATTTTATTTGTTCAGGCTTTCTCTAAATATTTTGTGAAGTGTGATTTAATCAAAGGGGTGTGGCAGGGTTTTAGAGTACTTTGTAATTGTTTTTTTAGGGTATTGTCTGAAGAAGGAAAAGTACTTAATTGTCCAAAACCTAAGACATCCTTTTTGATATAGAGGCATCTGCAGATTTATTTGATCTCTCTCTCATCCATGTGGATGATGTTCTGAATGCCATTTAATATTTGAATTTTTTAAAATCCTGATGTTTATTATGGTCCAAATAATGTGCTTTTTTGAAACGTAGACAAGTGAGGTTTTGACCCTAATTATTTATTAAGATAGCAGAATATGATGGTTCTGAAGTTCCATTTCTGACCTACATAAGGATTTTAGCAATATGCTATTTCAAAAAGACAACCTCTAAGCTGTCGTGGCTCTGGAATCAAATTAAAAATGAGGCCTTCAGGTGATCAGTGATGCCTTGTATTTTCCGAACAGTTTAAAAACAAAGTCTTCTCTATTTCACTAACAGCCTTTGTACTTGCTTTGGATAAAAGACCAGCAGTTATTACTTACTGATCCTTTATTGTTTTAAATAAAATTTTTTTCCCATGAAAATTTTAATATTATATTATGTGCATACGGATTAACCTACCTGTGCTCAAAGAGCTAGTGATTGTCTTCTATACAAATGACCTGTGGTCAAGACTGTTCTTATGTAAACAAAACATGGGCAGGAGAACCTGTGCTGTAATTGCTTTGAGGAAAAGAGCTAAAGTACCTTCAGCCTTAAGGTATTCAGGGATGTGCATCTCTAAATGATATCCATAGAAACCATTTTTTCCAGGTCATTTTGCACCACTGTATACACTATGGGACTGTCTGAAGCTGTTTTTCTACAAGTGGGAAGCCATTTGGGAGTAATACTGTTGCCCAAACAGCATTTTTTGTCATAGCCATAAATCATTTAACTTGGATTCATTATTTGTATAATACTTTACACTCAAGGATGAACTTCCTTTGTCTATCTGCGATTTGATTAATGAAAGGAATTTGACATACAGTGTTCTTTATGCAGCAGTTTTCCAATAACTGAAGAAGCTCACTTGTGAGTTTTACATCAGTATGTGGTTTTTAAACATATTTGATTATTCCAAGTCCAGACTATTTTCTTCCATCAATTTTTGTCATTCCTTCATTAAATAGAAAATTATGTTGTGACAATACTGAGGCCAATAGGATTTCTTTTAAAAATCTCTCTCCCTTTGTCTATTTTCAAATGACTCTAGACAAAGTATATGTTCTCTCCATCCGCCCTTCCTAAACTCCTCTCCCCACATACACGCATCAGGAGGTGATTTAAAATGACTGTTCATTTCTACTTTGAGAGTATCTGTGATACAATTTTGAATTCTTCCAATTCATTCAGCAAATATTTATTGAAAACCTACTATGTGCCAGCTGTGGGGCTGCACAAGGTGAATAAGACACAGTTTCTGCCTGCTGTATTAATTTCTTTATTTCAGAGGAGTGAAGTTGGTGGTTTTCCAGCATCCCTTTGAGAGGGAGAATGTTTTTCAGTCCTTTCTGGAAAGAGGAAGAGGAAATATACTTTGTTTATCTTCTTTAAGCTTGTTACAACACTAACCTGCCTACAACCTAGCATAGTTCCCATTGCTAAGTTTTACATATTTGGAGCAGCAAAGAGAGAAAGGAATTTGTGTAGAAGACAAAGTAGAAAACAGAAGCCCTCAGGCTGAACATACTCAGTGTAACCTTGGCTGAGAGGATGCACCATGGGGCAAGCAGCTAATTGCACCTGCACGCACCTGCACACGCAAGCCTGGCCTCACAAGTTTGAGAGGTGAGGATGTCCGCCCACATACCAGAATGGAGACTCAGCCTCTTAATTATATGCTGGTGCTTATTTACAAAAGCGCAGCAATTAAAAAGCAATAAAACAAACTCTGTAACTATGGCTGGCTGTTTTGCAAGGTGTTGGAGAGAAGAAAGGTGATTCCATAACCATTTCCAGGTAAAGGTTTCCATTTTTTTTTAATGATACATTGTGGGGAAAATGTAATTTTATATATCTATTAGTCCCCTCCAAAGAATTCACAAGCCAATAAATAGATTAGTCAGTGGCTAGTGAGATGTACTAGCTTTCATTCGATGTTCATTTTGGCATTCTCTTTTTCATTGGCACATCCACTCTGTCAGGCTGCCCTTTCATTTGAATGGAGGTAGAAACTAAAAAGGCCTTGATGTCTGGAAATAAAATGTCCTATGTAGACCTGATTGTGGAGGCTTTCCTATCCCCTTGGATGCCTGTCCTGTTGCTCTTCCCTGCTGTTATCCAGCCCTTCCCCAGATGTCTAGTGGTTCTCACAGCTGCGGCCCCTTGGTGATCATGGCCACAGCCTCCACATGCCCCTCTCAATTTAACCTGGAATGCTCCAGTGGTGTCCTAACAGTCCAAGACTCCTACCTAGCTCCTTTTGCCTCTGAGTGTCCGTGGTAGCCACTCAAGACCCTCTTTGAACTCCTCGTTCATCCTCTCTCATGCTTTTCTGCTCCAACCAACCAAGCTTCATCTACTCACTCTCCTCTGTGTTTAACCAACTTGCTCCCAGATTCCTGCCTGTACACCCATCAGTCTCCTAATAAGGCCATGCTTACTTAGAATGCAGAAGTTGTAGGGCTTGGTTCAGATCTCTTGCCCCTGCGCTTGCATGGCTTCGGACAGTTAAGTAATCACCCTCTCAGTTTCCTCATCTTTAAAATGTAGGCAAAATAATGGATACCTCATAGGAGTAAATGAGGTTTTAAGATGTAAAGCACTTAGCACAACACCTAGCACATTGTAAATGCCCAATAAACATTAAAATAATATGCATGTATTCTAATGCTCTCCTTCCTTCTAAATCCACTTCAAATCAGATGTAGACCATGTCTTCCCTTAGCCTTGGCATCCTCAGTGGGTTATTCGATGAGTAGTAAACACTTGCTACACTCTAGAGAAGAGAACTACATGAATAAATGTCAAAATCAGTTGCTTATTTTGGGCTTTTTTTTTTCTCCCAGATTTACTTTTTTTTTTCTGAGACGGAGTCTCACTCTATCGCCAGGCTGGAGTGCAGTGGTGCAATCTTGATTCGCTGCAACCTCTGCCTCCTGGGTTCAAGCGATTCTGCTGCCTCAGCCTCCCAAGCAGTTGGGACTGCAGGCGTGTGCCACCACAGCCAGCTAATTTTTTTGTATTTTTAGTAAAGACAAGGTTTCACCATGTTGGCCAGGGTGGTCTCTATCTCTTGACCTCGTCATCCACCCGCCTTGGCCTCCCAGAGTTCTAGGATTATAGGCATGAGCGACTGCACCCTGCCCCAGATTTCCTTTTTAACTTTACCCCTCAGCTACTTTAAGTTTCCATCTCACTTACTATTAGGCTATCCTTACTTACCCTAAGTGCATGCCTTCTAGCAGTACAGGAGTTGGTCTGGGAATTTTCTTGGCCTCAGGTTTGCTATAGAACAAGTTTAGAGTGGATAGTTCAAGCTGTTCCCCAGGAAAGAAGAGCTCACTTTATACTACTTCACAGAGCTGGTATGTGAGCCCCCCCACCAGTCTGAAAGCTCGACAGGGCTTGTGTCTCTGTCCACCCCAGGATGCCTGGTGAACACACAGGGCCCCATGAATGAAGGTACATTCAGAATCTGTTTGACACCTTGTTCTTTCCAGGGCAGTGTGAATCCTTCCTATAACACTTGGCAAATATTGCTACAGCATTGAGGGAAACTTTTGAATGCCCATTAACTCTTTCACATATTTAGAATTCCATTGACAAAGGAACTGCTCTGGGGAACTGAACAATCTCTTTGCTGTAGGAAAGGCTGGTGTGCATTGTGAAATGTCTAATGTTGCTCTAGAAAGTCTTACATCAGTTAGGAGCATCAGATTCAGCATTTTCCAGGTATGCTGTGTGAGTTAAGTAGTAGTGATAGGACAGGAGCTGTTCGACATAGAAATGCCGGTTAGTGTGGGGTTAGCTCTGAGGCCAAAGAGAAGAGTCATGTGCAAGTGAGGATGGAAAACATCTCAGATTCTTTGGAGAGCAGTGTTTATTGATGCCTATTTACGCTGCAAGTATACCTCAAAGACACTATGAGAAAGGCTTAAGAAAATCTCAAAATTAATTTTAATTTTAACCTCTTTATCGACTTGGTTGAAAGCAGTGGAAAACTAAGAAGGTTAACTGAGTTGCCTAAATCGAGCAACGGGGTACAGATCAAGTGCAGGCATATTTACTTGTGTTATTTAAATAGAGGAAGTACCCAGCACTGCTCCAGGCAAT